ACCCAATGCCTAGTCCACTCTGCACGCTACCTAACGAGCTACATGCTGTCTAGAGGGGGTCTGGTGGCAGCGACCCTTAGAAATTAAGATTAGAGTTAAGTATTTACCCTTAGTATTAATGACCCCAGAATCTGGCAGTATATTAGGTTGTCTATTTGCTTATTAACATCGTTACTAGTCACTACTATCTCGCTTAATTTGTTTTCTTCACTATCTCTGAATAGAGTCGGTGCCTCGGGTATCATGTTTAAATTTTCAGTGGTGAAAACTGCTGGAAAAATATTTATTCAAATTATTGCCCATTTCTCCGTCGTTATCAGTGAGCTCGCCGGAGTCTGACCGTATTGGTCCAATCTTTTCTCGTGTTTTAGTTTGATACATTTGGTAGAATCCTTTGGGGTTTGTCTTTGCCTCCCTTGCTATCCTTACCTCATTATTACTCCTGGCTTTCCTTATCTCGGTTTTAACCATACTTGCCAATATCTTATAATAATCGTGGAGGTAAATTTTGCCACGCTTTATCCTTTTAGCTATAGCCTTCCTTTGGCCAATGATGTTCTTTAAATAATTATCTATCCATTTAGGGTCATTGTTGTCTGATCTGAGTTTTTTGTATGGTATGTTCTGCCTTTGTGCATTAAGTAACTCATTATTTAAATTGTCATGGAACTCGGCAATCTCAGATCTCGTTATCAGGTCACAGTCATCTGTCAGGTTCACGGCCAAGCGTGACACCCCTTCTCTCAGCTGCCTCTTTAAACTGTCAAAGTTTGCCCTTCTGAAATCTGGTACTTCAGTGGAATTTTCCTTACGTCTGCCCTGAAAATCTAACGGGAATCTAATTTCTTTGTGATCGCTGTTTGCAAGTTCGTTCCCTACCTTGACATGACTAATGAGGTTTTCTCTGTTCGACAGAACTAAATCGAGTATATTATTACCCCGGGTGGATTCGGTTATATGTTGACTTAGGAAACAGTCCTGGATCGTCTCGAGAAAATCCTCTGATTCTGAGTTACCCGTAAGGTCAGTCCAATCTATTTGGCCAAGGTTAAAATCGCCTACTATACAGACTTTGTTGTGTATGGAAGCCCTGCGCATTTCGTCCCAGATAAGTCTCTCGTTAACTCTATCAAGATTAGGAGGTCTATATATTACTCCTGTGATTAATTTTTCCCGACCGTCGATTAATTCTATCCAAATTGTTTCTGTATTCTGCTCAGTTTTTATTTCCTTATTTATTTCGCACGTCAGATTATCCCTGACATAGGTGGCGACTCCGCCTCCTTTCCTGGACGACCTATCGGTATGGAACAATTTGTAATCCGCAATTTGGTATTCGACAGGTAACTCATGTGAGTCTAGGTTGATCCATGTTTCAGTGAATGCTATTATATCGATTTTTTCGGTACATACCAAGGCCCTAATATCATTCATTTTGTTTCTCATACTTCTACTGTTCGCGTAGTAGACATTTAAGTTAGTCGTGTTCTGAGTCCTCCCTTTACCGCATTTAGGTTTAAACTCCCTGTCTAATTTAGTTTTGTCATCATTCCTAACACTATTTCCCTGTAATCTTTCACTTTGTTTACCCACTCCCACTGCAGTCTCCTCCACCCCCGTGCCCATATGTTCCCCTCGCAGTTTAAAAGACTTCGATATCTTTTGAACTGCCCCCTCTAGAGACCCAGCCAGGGTTGCCACCCCATCCCTAGACAGGTGCACCCCATCCCTAGCATAAAGGTCCCTTCTGCCGTATAAGTTGTCCCAGTTATCAATGAATGGGACTGATATTGACTTGCAATATCCGTCAAGACGGCCGTTGACAGCAACTGTCCTTGACAACCATTCATTGCTAACTCTCCTTCTAGGCAGGACACCACATATGATAGGGATCCCTCCCTTAGTCCTAATATGATCTATAGCTGTCTTGAACTTATCAAGAAGCTCCTCACTCCTACACCGGCCTCCTGCACTGAGGCAGATAATGGGTTTGTTCCCATTACCAGACAAGATATTGTCCATCCTGTCAACTATATCCCCCACCCCAGCCCCTGGCAAACACACCCTCATCCTATTTTTATTTTTACCACAAAAGGCTCTGTCCAAGTACCTTACCTGTGAGTCACCAACAATTAAAGTTTTTATACCTTCCTTGTCAGTCCTGTCCCTGACTGTACTAACGTCCAATTCGTCTATCAAGGGACTGAGCGAGTTGGTACACTTAGCTGTTGTTGTCGTTGTTGTCGTATCCTTGGTGTGTTTCTTCACCACCAGTTTGGTCGTCCCTCTCCTCACAACCTTCCATTCCCCAGAGTTATCGTCATTCACCGGCTTTCCTTGTCTCGTTTCTTCCTCATCCTTGCTATCTCTTCCTTTAATTTCAAGTTTTCTTCCTCTAATTTCAGGTTTTTTCCTTGGTACTCTCTAACTCGGCCCACAGAAGGGCGTAACCCCGTTCACCAGTAGCACTAGCCATATCTGATAATTATCCCCGGGAGCACCAATGCGACGCCCTCAGTCAGTCACTCACACCAAGTAATATCGAACGGACGTTGATTCACGTTTATATACATAAACACCGTCCCTTTCTCATCACACTCATAAATAGTGGAACTTACGGTTGATCTACACTCAGGAATTATATACATAATACTTTTTTAATACAATAAGAAACTTCAATTGGCTTTCGTTACTAGAAGCCTAATATATATTATATGTGTACCGACCTGGTTAACTGGGAATTAACCAGCGGAACAGCTCCAAGTAAGGACACTCGACTGAGTAGTGCCCCTTGAGATGCTTATACACCTCAATTAGGTCACCCCTTGCCCATCTGTAGTATAAGCTAGGCAAGTTCAGGTGCTCCAATCTCTCAGGGTAGTTGAGGTGCCGCAGTGCAGGCACCAGTCTGGTTGCCCTCCTTTCGACATTTTCAACCAACTGACAGTCCCTAGCATATCTCGGGGACCAGACGGGGTGACAGTACTCCAGATGGGGAAGCGCTTTATATCTGAACGATCTTCTTATAGGACCTAATAATTTATTTGCCTGATTTACCTTCTTCTCGCAATGGCCCGAGAACTTCAGTTCATTGTCAACGTACACACCTAGGTCCTTTTCACATTCCGCCTCATATAATGCAGTCTCCTCGTCCCGTTGGGACATATAATATGCCTCCTTACTGTTGGTACGTCCCAGGTACAGCCTCTTACACTTCGTGAATTGAATCTTAGCCGCCATTTCTTCTACCATTCTTGTAGCTCGCATAGGTCCTTCTGCAGCTCTCCACAGTCTGCTTGGTTCTTAATTTCCCGAAATAACATGGCGTCATCAATTCAATTCAATTTCAATTGTTTATTCCTTGATAGAGGAAGCGGGATCCTAGTGCTGTCACTAGGTACCCCTGTACAATGACACCAGAAGCATCTGGCAAGTGTGACAAGTATATACATTAAAATATTATCAAGGGGCTTACTAAAACCTAAGGAAGGATATTCCTTTAACACATAATCAATGTTATTTACAAAATATCTGGCCAGTATGGGGAGGATCATCGTGTCTCCGTCAGGGGGTCGTGGAGTGGTGGTCCAGCAGGCGTCACGGAAGCGTTGTGTGTGGGGACATCTTAGGAGGTAGTGGATAAGGGTGCGGCTGTCGGGTCTTCTGCATAACGCACAAGAGAGTTGCTCAGGGGATGCGGGGATACCAATCTCCCAAGCAAAGTCACACCCAATGATGATACGGGCAACAATCACGTCCCCCTTCCGCGACCCTTTCCTGTAGACGTACGAGAGGTCAGGAAGTTTACGGAGGACATCGTACCAGGTGGGCAGGGAGTCCAGGGGGATGGCTGCTTCCCGAGCTTCTCTCTGTTTGCGACGAATTTGGGTCCTAAGCTGTAAAAGTGTTCGAGGAACAACGTAGTCAGGTGTGGCCTTGTTGCAGCCAGTCTTGGCAAGGCCATCTGCTGCCTCATTCCCCAAGATACCGACATGACTGGGTATCCATATGAATGTTACAGGACGGCCTGCATCCTGAAGTGTGGATGTTAACCCTCGTATTCGGAGGATGAGGTCCTTATTTTCCCCTGATCCAAATGCGGTCCCGTCGAGAGCAGACCTGGAATCGCAGCAGACAAGCAAGGGGCAGAAACCATCTGCTTCTTCCTCAGCGAGAAGGGCAGCAAGGAGGGCTATTAGTTCAGCCTGAGTGGAGGATGCCCCGTCAGAATGGCGTCATCCGCAAACCTTTGTATGGAGGAGTGTACAACGTCAGGCATGTCATTTATGAAACAAACAAACAATAGCGGGCTAAATACACTGCCCTGTGGTACCCCGCTTGTTACGGCTAAAAAACAAAAAGAAGATAAATAAAAAATGGTGAATTAATCTCGCTCTAGTATGTAATGTAAGGCTGTCCTAACTCCTGAGCCTACACTGTACTCTCCAGGGTCGACATCTACCCCTACATACATCATCCTAGATTTAGCACTTCACAAGTTATGCTCAGGTCAAGATATTCATCCTTTGGAGTGTAAAGTATCCCTTAGCCTTAGCTATATTATTCTGGCTAATACCAGACGAGTTTATTGAGCTACTAAAGGGTTAAAGAGCAATATATTCAATGCCATCACATCTGAAACTACACCTAAAATAACAGATGCTATTTGTATTTATATTTTGTGGAGACAGTTATTTGTATAGCGGTAGCTATTTCACGGGATTATAAAACATATGTACTCTGGTACATATTGAACATAGGTAGAAATGTCACATCAGAAGTCCGCCTCCTGAAAAGGAAAACATTAGCCTTTAAAATATGTGTTAGGTTAGCACCCTGGTGTGGAACGTGTGTTGATAATGTAACTGTTGTGTTTGACTGTTGTGAATGACTGTTGTGTTTGACTGTTGTGTATGACTGTTGTGAATGACTGTTGTGTTTGACTGTTGTATGGAGTGAATGAGAGAGTTATGAGAGGCGGTACTGGAGCACAACCGACCTGGTAGCGTAAACAACCCCAGCAGCTGTTGAGACGTGACCACAGTGATATTGATTCATCTTATTTTACCTTTTTTCATTATAATAATGGGGAATGCCGATACTAAACTACATTTTAGGAAAGCCGTTGTTCAGCTGACGACCAAGACACAGGTGAGAGGAAGGCCACTGACCGTCACTGGCTGGCCACTGTCTGTCACTAACCTTCACCGTCTGTCACTGTCCCTTAATTGTCCGGCCACTGTCTTATTACTCTTCACGGTCCAGCCATTGTCTGTCACTTATATTCACTATCTGGCCATTGTGTCACTAACTTTCACTCCGTCACTGTCACATCACTGTCTGATCACTGTCACTAACTTTCACTCCGTCACTGTCCCATCACTGTCCCATCACTGTCATTAACCTTCACTCTCCGTCACTGTCCCATCACTGTCTGGTCACTGTCATTAACCTTCACTCTCCGTCACTGTCCCATCACTGTCTGGTCACTGTCATAAACCTTCACTCTCCGTCACTGTCCCATCACTGTCTGTCACCTGACCTTCATTGTCCGGCCACTGTTTGTCACTAACCTTCACTGTCTGGCTACTGTCTGTCACTAACCTTCACTATCTGGCCATTTTGTGTCACTAACCTTCACTGTCTGGCTACTGTCTGTCACTACACTTCACTGTCTGTCACTACACCTCACTGTCTGGCCACTGTCTGTCACTACACTACACTTGAGGAAGCTTCCCTGTGGCCGAGGTGTGGCGTGACAGGCAAATAGTCACACTGGAACCTGATAACCCACGCTGGCCATTTAAACTGTGGCCGGAAGAGGCGTACAACACCCACCACACACTGCAACTGAAGATATCTATTTCAAATACTTATGCATACACAGCTCTATCATGTGACAAGATTTACTCCAGGGAACTAAAACCTGTGAAAGTTATGCAATATTTTGATACTTTATATTAGAAGTAACTCCAAAACTCTTATTTCTTTATGTTTTATCGTCCTTTATATAAATTAATACAGACGTCCTTGTATGTACACCGGGGATCATACTTTCACTCCCTCCCAAACTGAAGCCGTACAATATTGACCCCAAATGAGATGAGCGACACACCCACGCCAAACAACACTCAGGGTGAGCATAATTAGTTAGGAGACTTATTCCCGTGACTCCGGGCCATATTCTCGGTCGTTACACCGCCAGATCAATCGGGAACAGCGTCGGCCGAGGTCGTTCGGAGACTCCACTATCTCGGTGGATCGGTTTTCCTCTCCGGATCGTTGGAACATTTCATCCGGGAGGGGGCACGCACCCTATGGCAATCCCAATGAATATATAACCCATTTTCACCCTCTAAGTACTGTATACATGTTGATCTTTGTGAAACATCAACAGTCTCCTGTCTCTTACATTGTCATTTACATCTGGTATTGTGCTGTCCCTACTTTTGTCTGTGGAGCCTCGACCAAAGAACCTCTCCCTTTCCTCAGAGGCAGAACACAGGTGTCCTCCCACTCCAGTGTCTCTGTTAGATACCTTTAATGCCACGTAAAGCAGATACTGCGGCTGTTTGGATGACGTCTTACCTTATGGCAAAAATCAGATTAGCCGACTCGGACGACGTATAATTGTGTCTCGTTTTCAGCCCATTGATGCATCGGACGAGTCGTTCTGGGAACAGTTCTGGAGTGAGCTGGTAACGAGCGTACAAGATGTGTTTGCCCTCATACCTGCCGCTGAGATTCGTTCCCTCAGAGAAGAGGCGCCGTCCAACCTTGCAACACTCTGCTACAAAGCTGTTGAGAAGCTGGTGCGGGCGGCAGACACAGGATGCTCTACACAACAGGAGCAGCAAATTGGTTAGTGTTATGTTATGTTCTCTGCTGTACACCATTACATCATCACATTAGTTAGTGCAGTACAACGTGCCATTATATGTACAGTACCGTATTTTATGCCATATAAGATGCACCGCCATTTCAGCGGGGAATATTTAGGAAAAAACTTTTGTGTGTATTTTCCTCCTGTGGCCATAGTTTTCTTGAAATAATATATACAGTACCAAAAAATGTGAGGAATAAATAATACCAATAAATATTTAAAAAAATACTGTACAGCTGAGATCCTCCCTCCTCCTAACACACGAAGAAAGTTTATTACTTTTAAGTTTTGACCTTATCATAATTATTCATATTATTTCTTTTGTTCCTTCTCTATGTAAGACTGAGTGTTCATGTAACATAGTAAAAGAATAATAATTATATGTATCCACCCAAAATCACCAGTTGAAAAATAATTATAACATAGCTCACAGCTTGGCCAGGGGGTGTGGCTATAGTGATGAGTCTTGTGTTATTATCACAAGACTACAGCTCCTCCCCGACTTACGACGGGGTTAGGGACCCAAATCCGGGTCGTAAGTCGAAATGGTCGTAAGTCGAAAATGCTTAATAATACATAGAAAATCTAAATTGGGTGTCTCTTTTTCTTCTCAGCACCACAAAACTCTCACTTTTAAGCTTGCCAGCCATTTTAAAGTGAATTACAAACGAAAATTTTGTCTGTGTACTGAAGTTGGGACTCGAAAATACATAATTTGACAAAATTTTGGTACGACTGAGGCAGGTCGTAGGTCCGGGTGGTCGTAAGTCGAGTAGGTCGTAAGTCGGGGAGGAGCTGCATTATAAAATACTGTACTGAAAAATAAGTTAAATAAAAGAAGTCAGGAATATTATCACAGCTGTAAAGTAACTCCCTACATGATAAGTCAGAAGGCTGAAGCAAACTGTCAACTCTCTCTACAGTATTTCAAAAAAGTATAGTACAGTATCTGGAAGGATGAGTCCGACGACTTCCAAAGTGTTACCCGCAACTCGTCATGTCCCGGGAGGGTTGGTTACGTGTGGCTCTGTGGCATACTGATCCTACTACATTTGGTAACTAAACATCATATTATTTGTGCTGAAATAAATACACTTTGCATTACTTGTGTTAAATTATATACCAAAGTAAATACATGTCCCATTATCTATCAGCTGTGGTCTCATAATATTTCACACTGATACTTTTGTGAGATATACTGTACCTCCTTTCCCAACACTCATAAACCACACCACCTACCTTGCTTATGGTATTTAACACCTGTGCTACTTCAAAAAACATTTGTATACAATCTAAATGAAAATTAATGCCACTAAAACCATTGAAGAAAAGCCAAATGAAAGTTTTTAACACAGCCACCATTTGTATAGACACTCCTTTCTTGACCATATCAATGCAGACCAGCGGAGACGCTACCTCTGCTGACTCTCTAGCAACATCCCCCCCCCCCCTCACAGTTCCGAAATGGTTATTGCTTAGCTACCTCTTAAGAGTTGGGTGTCTGCCGTACGGACGTTAATCATCTCGGGTTATCATCATCAGTACAGTAGTTATAAATTGAGCTTTTATATTTACAATAATTATTTTTTTAATTAAAGGTAATAATAATAATAATAATAATGTGTTTAAGTCAGCAATAATATTTTTTAAATTAGGGAGTTGGGTTAGGTAGAATTTAGCCTACAGGAGACAGCCTTTGGGAGACCTCAACTTCACATATAGGACACAGGCTGATGTTTTAGCAATTTAAAAAAAAAGTACGTATTATATATGTCATAAAATACGGTACAATACTTATATACGTACGATAAGCTTCATGTTATAATTTTTTTTTATTCTTGCTATAATATAGGACAATAATACTGTATGTATGAGTCTGAGATAACCTTTTATGCCTGAGCTGTGAACTAGATGGCTGGAGACCTGACATCAGTGGTGTGGACCAGTCTCGGTCTAGCACCTGCACAGCATTGCTCTTGTTCCCCGGGAAGAGAGGAAACAAAGGTTATCCCTCCAGAGGTCGGACAAACAGGTCACATCGTGTGGTCAACCTTGATAACTTTCTGCCATTATTTACTCAGGGAATAATAATGGGTTATCTTTTGCCCACAGAGTTATTAATGGGTTATCTTTTGCCCACAGAATTAATAATGGGTTATCTTGTACCCACAGAGTTATTAATGGGTTATCTTTTGCCCACAGAATTAATAATGGGTTATCTTGTACCCACAGAGTTATTAATGGGTTATCTTTTGCCCACAGAATTAATAATGGGTTATCTTTTGCCCACAGAATTAATAATGGGTTATCTTGTGCCCACAGATTTAATAATGGGTTATCTTGTGCCCACAGAATTAATAATGGGTTATCTTGTGCCCACAGAATTAATAATGGGTTATCTTGTGCCCACAGACTTAATAATGGGTTATCTTGTGCCCACAGACTTAATAATGGGTTATCTTGTGCCCACAGTACTGAACTGCATAAGAATACTAATGCGAGTGATACCGTACATCTTCGAGGACCCAGACTGGAGGGGATTCTTCTGGTCCAGTTTACCGGCCGGGGGAGAGGAGGAAGGTTCAGGAGAGTCTGTACCACTAGCACACAGCCTCATACATGCATTGTGTGTAAGTTGTGGCTTCTATATGTTGAGTGAGGACCTTGATGATGAGGGAGAGAGAGTCGGTCGGCTTGTGGTCACTAAGATGTTACATACATACATACATACATACATACATACATACATGCACATACATACATACATACATATATATATATACAGTCAACCCTCACTTTACGCGGTTAATTCAACCCACGGCGGCCCGCGTAAAGTGAGAAACGCGTAAAGTGAACAACATGACATATGGGATTAATTGAAATAGAGACCGGGCCGACCCCCAAACTCCACTTTTTGACGACACACAATTATGTTGTAGTAAAAATATTATCTTAACTTTATGATGGTATGTACACACAATTAATATAGAAGAGGTTAGGTTAGGAAAATAAAGGTTAAGTTAGGAAAAATAAAGGTTGGGGTTAACACTTACATTAGTAGAAGAGATGGGTCGGCGTACAGGAATGGAGGCTGGTTCCGAGGCAGAGGGCAGGCTACTGGCCCTCAGGTGAGTCACCATCACTGTCATCCACACTTGTCAGGGCCTCCCTGACAAATCCCTCAAAGTCATCATCACTGTCTCTGCCTCTGTCACTATCACTGGCTTGGGCTGGCTGTGGTGGGTTGCGGGTGAAGAACTCTGTTATGCTTTGCTGACGGCTGGTGTTTATGTTGTCGTGATAAACCTTGATGTAGGGCTCCATAGTCTGCAACAGCTGGGTAGTGAAGATTTCATACCTGTTTGCGTCAGGGTCGTCGGAAAGGAGGAGCTTGACTTTCTCGATACACTCGATGGCACCCCTAACATTACTATGGGATAAGCGGTGTTCTTCTTGGGATGACGCACCACCTGCCTCTTCACTGACGTCATCATCATCTACCATCTCGTCGGTAGTCACATCAGGATCCCTTATCACCTCCAGGATGTCGTCGTTGGTGGTCTCGGAGAAGCCTGCAGCTGTAACACTCTGCGCAGCTTCTCTGGCAAGGTCCACTGCTACTGCAACAGTCTGAACCTCACCAGTCACAGATTGACTCTGCCTAACGCCCGGAATGCCTTGCAACACATGTCTCCATGCGTGACGAACAGTTGCTACAGACAGCTGATCCCATGCCTCCACCAAAAGTCCACAGCTTTCTTGATGTTGAATATTCTCCAGAATTGTTTTAAAAGTACTTGTTGCTCTGCCAACTGTTGATTCTCGTCGTCTTCGCTCTTGCTATCGGTGGTGGTGTCACTCAGGTTACGCAACTCTTCCCTGGTGTTGGTGTAGTCGTTCAGGAGCTTGAATTTTTTAGTAGAGAATGCAGCTTTTACATTACAGATTAACTCTTGGTCCATGGGCTGTAATATAGACGTAGTGTTGGGAGGAAGGAAGACCACTTTTACGTTGGGGTGACGATCTAACAGTAGGGGCGAGTGTCCTGGTGCGTTGTCCAGCAGCAACAAAATCTTGAATGGCACATTCTGTTGCTCACAGAATTTCTTCACATCGGGAACGAAACAGTCATCAAACCAGGAGAGGGACAGTGTAGAGAACATCCACGCCTTACGTGCGGTCAGCCAGTGGACATTTAGCTTGGTCATGTCCATGCTCTTGTAGGCGTGCGGCTTGCGTGCTGTGTGGATCACCGATAACTTGAGCTTACAGGTACCGGAGGCATTGGTGGTAAACAGGACGGTGATGCGTTCCTTCTGCAACTTCCGGCCCCGAATCTTGCTGGCATTCTTCACAACGAAGGTCTTGGAAGGTAGCTTTTTCCAAAAAAGACCAGATTCGTCCATGTTAAACACCTGGTCATCGGTGTACTGTCCTTCCTCCATAATCTCACGTAAAAACGGAGGAAATTCCCTAGCCGCAACACGGTCAGCACTAGCTTCTTCACCACCAATGTTGATATTGGTGATCTTGTTCCTCTTCTTAAACCTCTGTAACCACCCAGAGGAAGCATTAAAGGGTTTGGGTTTCTGCGGCCCTTTATCTTCGTGACACTGCAGGTTGCCAGTTCACGGCGGTACTTTGCGGTAACAGAAGAGCCGCTGCGGTCCACCGCCATAACCACACGCGCCTACGACCAAGTAGCTCCATGCTAATTTTTCCGCCTTTTGAGAAGCACCTGGTTGTGGCAATATTTCTGATGATAGAAGCGCCTGTAGACTTTGTGGAGTTCATGCCTTTATCTTGGCTGCATCCTTCTTAATTGTCCTGATCAGAGATCATAACACTCATTGTAGGATCAACCTGTCTTGTGCCTTTTCTCCAACTCTTGTATGATCTTATACTTAATTTCAGCTTACGAACGTCAGGTCTTCTTTTGGCTTCCAGGGCTGCTGTCCAGGTATGGTGCTGCTTCTGGGGCGAGTCCGCGAAGCCATTTTACAGAACAATGGATGCACGTATTACACGGTGTGCTCTGGGGATGAAACTGTCATGCTAGGTCAAGCTGCTTTTCTCCTCCCTTCCCTCCCTCTCCCCGGTGGACACGTGCCATACATTAAAACCAATTACAGCTTAGCAGCGCGGAGGGAGGTAGGGATGCATAACACAATCACAGTCCGAACGTCAAGGCGACACGATAATGCAACAGAGACATGCGCTCAGAATCTTCATGCTGCTTTGCCCAGGCGGAGGCGGAGCAAGCGGGAGGCGAATCTAAAAAATAGCGTGAGCCAGACACTCTCCACAGAAGGGTACACGCATTCACGAATGTGAGCATTCGCCGGCAGGGCACCACAGAACGTGAAACGCGGAATGTGACCGCGAAAGTAGGCTTGATTGTATATATATATATATATATATATATATATATATATATATATATATATATATATATATATATATATATATATATATATATATATATATATATATATATATATATATATATATATATATATAAATCACAAGAAAAAAACACGTTCGTAATTCATTGGGTAGTACAAGTAGACTTACCATTCTTTTCCTGTTATCAGCATATACATAGTTCTGCCATAACGATAATTGTGTTCTGTAAAATATCGTTATAGAAAATCCAAGATAATAACAGGCTTATGGAGAAAATAGTTATGCAGATTACTCAAATCGAAAAATTAGATTTAGCACACGGATAGCACAGTTAATAATGTTAATTCATATCAACAATGAAATCACAGAAATTTAACACTTTACCTTGAAAAATAATAACAAGATATTTGAGGTTGATAACATGAGCTTCTTCAAGTGTTATATCCTCTTTTACGATAATCACCGAATTCTATCATCAAGCTTTTGAATATTCCTTACCATATTCAATTAAACAAAATTGAGAAATATAAAAATCGCTATAGCAAAAAAGCGCTATACAAATATTGTCAATTCATAAATCGAAGAGCAAATTGTATCAAACACGCTACAAACCCCGTACTAGATGCACCTACAGTGATTTACTTAATATATATATATATATATATATATATATATATATATATATATATATATATATATATATATATATATATATATATATATATATATATATATATATATATATATATATATATATATATATATATATTCAACACTATCATATTAGTTCACAATTTGATCAGCATGTTTATAGACAATATAGGAAGACAGTAAACCATTTCAGTGTACTGTACCTAGACCGAGCTCTGTGATAACTCCCGTACATGTAAGAAATGTTTGTTCCCTTTATGTGTTTGACCTTATAATAATGATTTATTTATTTTACTTTTGCACATTCTGTATAAAAGAGTTGTGTGTGCCTGTAACATAGTAAAAAAAATGAAGAGAATTACATCTGTCTACCTAGAAATTATGAGTTGAAAAATAACCAGTGTGAGTGGTGGCTCTGGCGTCAGTGAACACCTGCCAGACATTAGCAGTGAGCCTCCCAGCACCTGACACCTACCACATGGCACCACCACCAGCTCACATTCTCCCCATCCTTCTCCTGCAGTGATGATAAATGTTAATTTTTGTGCAAGTTTTCTGATTATGGTCCAGTAAGTTATTTTGGCCAAAAACTTGGGTCCTGTATTGGGCTGGGACGAAAAACTGGGAGGAATGTACCTTACTAAGAATGGTTAGGGCCCCATATATATATCTGAAGTTCTAAGGGTTTACTTATACAGTATATATTATATATTGCATTTACTGTATATAAACAAAAAATCTATAAGATATGGACCGTCAAATGGGGGTGTTTTGTGGAGCACAGGAGTTGAATAGAGGTGAGTGTGACAGCTGAGACAACACACACAGCTGCCAGGAAGACTGAACTTTCCCCCACAGTGTTAAGACCATAAATGGCTAAAAAAAAAAAATGTTCATATGGAGTATAAAAACCCTGAGGCTGTTAAGTCTAGGTTAAAAATTACAGCAGGTTCAGTGTTCTTAGGCAGCTTGAGTCAGAAATCCACCCCCCCCTCCCCCCCCTTTGGTCCCACCCTGTAATATAGGTAATACACACCCCAGCCAAACTTGTCAGGCCTCCCCCCTCGCATCCCATTAGTCTGGAGTAGAGGAAGTTTATTACACTAAAAATTGATGACTTGATGACCTGGTGGCACTGTGGTGACCTGTGTTGTGCTGTTTACCAGGTCACTAATATTCTCTCACTTAATATTCCTGTTTCTTTTAATGGTCCCTCCATTAACGAGCGGTTCAATCTACGAGATTTGGGTTAACGAATTAGCTCCCATAAGGATTTTCAGTTCTCTTAACGAATACAACTTCTATTAACGACAGCCTTGCGACAAACACGCCTTGGTGTGTGCATCAGCAGGTCGGCCAGTCCGCCAATACAGTAATTGGTTCTATGTTTACATTTGTTTCCAGTGGAGTAAATATCAAGAAAGTTTGTCTCTTGAATATTTTTGCATTTTATTTATTAAAATTATTGGTCATTCTGAAATTTAGTTCGCATATTGATAATATACAGTGCGGAAATTATTAAGAAATAAGAAGGCATTATAACCAATGCACTCTGTAAGGAATATGGCATGTC